TATATATATATATATATTATTAATACAAGTGTATTATTAATAACATTATACGTAATAATAATGAAATATTTTTACAGATAATATTTGCAATGACGTACATAATTATAACTTCTAATATTTCACATTTAACTTTCATATTTACATTACATATTATTCTAAAATATTTACAATAATGTATTATTTTACACATTACTCATTTCTTTCACTTCTATTACAATATTTACATTGATAGTAAAAATAAATTTACAATTAGACCTGTATAGTTGGCAGAAAAATTATTATAATAAGTCCATCCATAATAGTAGGTTTTTCTTGATCAAATAAAAAATTACATGAAGATAATCATGTTTTGAAACATAATAGGGTTGGAAACAACATCCACATTCCAATTCCATCCAAGGAAGACAGCAATAACTATAAAATGACATGGAATCGCAGGTAGATCCATTTATTTTGTAATATATTTAATTTTAAAAATAAAGAAAAGTGAGGAGTGAGAACAATATCCAATAAATACAATAATTCAAAAGAATGTACAAAATTATTTATAATCAATATTAAACATATATATAAATATATATATATATATATATATATATATATTAAATTTTTAACACACACACAAACACACATATATATATATATATTAAATTTTCATGTTACAATAAAATTTGAATTATAATTGTAGTGACTAGTCAGGATAAATGAGCATCATCATAATATCAATCAACAAAAAAATATTTCACCTTAACCAACAAGAGGATATTTCACCTTCATTTCTTACTCATTTAAATCTCCAAGGTCAAACCTTCAACTACAGTTAATTCAAACTTTATCTTCTATGGCCATAAAATAATATTTATCTTCATAAATACATGAAGAAATAATAACAAGACGAGTCAATGATATCAAAACTATATTATAGTTGATTATAAAATATATTTACACTAACTAAATTTGAATATTTATCATTAAAATAATATTTATGAAAAAAAAATATATTAAGAGTATCAATCGTGTAAGTGAAAATAATAATCATTATAAAATAATTAAGCAATATAAATTATGAACATCTTATTAATTATTATAGGTAAAAATGATCATAGATTAAACAAGTAAATGAAGTTAGAGACACCTCACTAAATAAAATAACATATATAAAATTTTAAAGAGATAAAATTCTCCTCCCCCTTACCTTACGACGTTTGCGAAAAGAACTTCAAGATCCTCTTCTTACTCACTTTTTCTCTCTTTCTCTTTCTTTCTCTTTCTTTCTCTCTCTAAGTTTTCACCTCACTTTGTTATATTTTTTCACAGCCTCTCCCTCCTATTTATAGAAGTCTGGAGTGGCCAGAAAGGCCCGTTCTGGATCCAGAATGACCCGTTCGTTATGTGTAACATTTACAACTAGAACGACCCGTTCTCAAGACCAGAACGACCTGTTTTAAAACCAGAACGGCCCTTTCTGGAGTTAAATTTTACTCATAATGACCATAATTAGAATGACTTGTTTCCAACTAAGGTCTTTAGGCATTTTTAATAACTTGGAACGACCCGTTCCATTTTTGGGAACGGTCCGTTCTGGGTTTTCAAAACACCAAAAAAATTAATATTTATTATTTAATTATAAAACCCCTTTAATAATCTCCATAAATATTAAAAATAAATAATAATCAATTATTAAAAATCTCTAAAATATTCTATAAAAAACCTTTTTTTATTAATTAATAACTATAAGAAAATAATTTCCATAAATATAAAAATAATAATTAACTATTGTATAAAATTTGGGATGTTACAACCCCAAGCGTGTGGTTCAGCGGTAGGGGTTGATCAACGCTTAAGCGAGGAGATTAATCACTGTTATCGGTCTGAATACTTCAGGGACGGACCAATTACAAACTCAGTTTGACGTTATTTAAAGGATTAATTTCACAATTGTATATTTAATCCACGTAAAGTTAGATGGTAAATTTAATTTCCCAATATAATGCTAAATTTGTCAAAATAAGGTTAAAATTTTAAACTATTTATCTATTTTTTTATAAACAATAAAAAAATTCCTTTATGTTTAGTACTCTAATTATTTTCTAAACACTTCAAATGAAATCTCTCAGAACTTAATTAGTTTGACATTATTTGAAGAGCTAAATTCACAATTATATATTTAACCCGCATTAGAAGTTAAATTTAAATTCCTAAACTAATGTCAATTTTTCATATAATAAAGTTAAAATTTTAAACTTTATTAACCTAATTCTTTTATAAACTTTAAAATAAATTCCTTAATTTTTAGTTATCTAACTATCTTTTAAACACTTAAAATGATATCTCTCTAAATTTAGTCTGACGTTATTTGAAGGATTAAATTACATAAGCTAGATGTTACATTTAAATTCCCAAAATAATTTTAGAATTTTCAAAATTGAGTTAAAATTTTTAACTTTATTACCTAATTTTGTTATAATCTACCCAATAAATTCCTTAATTTTTAGTAATCTATATTTTTCTAAACTTAAAAGTGAAATCTCTAAACTTATTTTGACGTTATTTGAAGGATTGAAATTTTAAATCAGACAACTTTTGTTAACGGTTTCAAAGTTTATGTTACCTCTGATAGACTGATATGCCCATAAAAACAAAGAAATGCCTTTTTGTTTGATTACTTAGCATTCACATAACGTTTCTTTTAAGTTTTTTTATTAAGGAACATAACATGCTTTAAATAATCACGCCCTCAAATAGTTAAGTACACCTAGTGTCCATCACATAACATGACTATACTTTAATAATCATGTCTCAAATAGTTAAGTTTGGACAATTTGTTTTAAAAATCCTCAAAAGTTCCATTCAACCAAGTTTTCCTCTTACATTAAGAATAACATGTCAAAACTTTTACATGACATTATACTTGCACATATACAAGAGGATGACACTTTGATGACAACTCACAGGTTTCACTCACACTATGCAATACATGCTGTAGCAAATTGTACTGAGGTGTTCCACAGTTAGCAATGTTCCCACCCATAATTATGTAAACATTAAATAAATTCATGGTTTAATATACACACCAAATGGAAACAAAATTCGAATTGGAGAAAGAAAAAAAAAACTAACCATAGACGTGAACCATGAATTTGTCATTGACAAAACTGAGTTGTGTGGAAAATAAGTATAAAGATGAAGTAATCCAGATATTCCAGGCAAAGTCACACTTTATATTGGAGCAAAAGAATTGAATGCATGACCCTGTTCTGTGTGTAACATGTCTATCTTTGGTTTTAAGTATTCATTAGAAACATAGCACTAGTTATTTATTTATTTATCCTTGGGAGACCATAGTGCTTCTCTGATTCATGATCATATGGGCTTCAGGGCCGGCCCGCTGAACATTGGAAGAAGGGGCAACTGACTTGACCTCATCTTTAACGGAGTCTAAAAGTAAAAATATAACTCTATTTTTTTTTAAATAATACTTTTTAATGCTAATTTTTAAGTTTTCCTTTTTTTTCTTCAATTTTTAATTAATTAACTAAAAATTCTAAATTTTTAACAGATTAAACATTTAGTTTTTTTTAAAGCATTAAAGAAACTATCATTTTCTAAATTTGTGATAACAAATACAATTTTTTTTTCTACATAAAACACAATTTAAAGAGGGTTACATTTTTTATGTATCAAATTATAAGAGATCTTATGATAAATTGTGTGCATTGTTTTGTAGGTGATGGACACCGTAATAATTTTAGAGAACATATTTTGTTGATAATAAAATATAACAAAGAAGTTTATTAAAAAAAATTAATACATATTTATTTTTAAAGATTTGTCAAAATCTTATTCACATCAGGTAGAAAAAACAGTAGTATTTTTTTTACTGAAATTACACGTATATCTTTTTTTTTTTTTTTTTTTTATATAATACATAATTAAATAAGAGGCTCTTATCTATTCTGTTACATTGTCCTGGAGCTACAAAATGTCAGGACTGACCAGACGGACTTGATGGCAGCAAACAATTACAATAAAGTAAAAGTTCCTAAACCTTAGAAAATAAAAAATAAAAAGAACAATTTTATGGCTATGCAGCATGCATACAATTCTTATTCTAACGCGATATTAATTTAAGGAATAAAATAATTTGTAGATTCTCCATAACTATAATTAAAATGTCAATAAGCTAAGTTATGAGATGCAGTAAGCTAAGCATACAAATTATAACTGCATATGGAATGTGAGACTGAATGAAGTTTTAATAACTTGAAAGTTATTGATTAAGGTCTTATGCAAGAAAGGTGTGGCCAAACAACTAGCACAGGACTCTTCTATATGTAAATCTGTGTCACTCCCACATGTAGCTCCCCATATTCCCTCTTACAACCACCTATTAGACAATGCCAATTACAAAGTATATATGAAATGTAGGGTTAGATTGAGTATGTGAAACCGAGAACTCAACCCAAGTTTGAGTTTTCCAGTACTAGTATCTCCAACGGTGCAATTATGGTGCTTATTTAACTCGTTCTTTTAGGTATTTATAATGTCACATGAGATTTTAGAACTTTGACCAGTTTTCATATGAGTAGTGTAATTTTTATGAATTTAAAATGGATCTTATGATTGTCTAACGATTCATAAAAAATGCTAAGATAGTTGTATATACATATATAAGCAAAAGGTTGTTATATAAGAACTAACGCGTCAACATGATCCAGTGATGTAACTGCACCAAGTTTTAGAATCCCTTAATAAACAACCCTGATGCTCATAGTAAATTCAATCCATACCCATATCCCAGCTTCTAACTATGCAAGTGGAATCTAATACAAATTGCATATAAAAGGATCTATTAAAGTTGCCATAAAATTACAATGCATCCCTTGGAAGATCAGCTTCTTTGTCTTCTTCAACACTGACACTAAACTCTAACCACTTCTTCTCCTTGCAGAGTTTTATGAAGAAGAAAAAACCAATCCCCGCCACAGTCATCACACCCGTAACCAAATAAACAGTTTTGGTAGCAATCGCCATAATCAAAACCAGAAACCCAGAGGGCACCAAACACATGAGCAGCAGCGACGGCAGCCTCAAGGGAATCCGGTAAGGCCTGGCAATCGCCGGCGACTTCCACCTCAGCCAAAGAAACGAGGCAAACTCCAACAACATACCCAAACTGTACAAAAGATTCGCCGAAGAAATTATATCCGTGAAGTCCATGTTAGACACACCAATCGCAATCAAAGTGGACACCACAATCCCCAACCATGGCGTGTTGAACCACCGCGACCGCACCCCGAAAAGCTTCGGCAGAATCCCAATCTCCGCCATGCCCTCAACCTGGTACGCGCTGCTGCTCAATTGGGCCTCGAAGAGCCCAATTGCTGACAACGCCGCACCGATTTCGATCCAGATTTTCAACCACTTTCCGGCGATGATCTCCGCCGCCTGCGCGTGGAACCCGGTTTCCCACTCGCTCTGGTCGACGGAAACAGCTCCGGTGACGGCGAAGAGTGGAATCAAGTAAGAGACGCAGGTGAAAATCACGGGAATGAAAAGAGCCAAAGGAAAGGTTTTTTGTGGCATATCAACTTCCCCAGCCAAAGTACTGACGTTGTCCCAGAAATTCAAGTTCCAGAAGAGCGTGTTGAAGTACAAGTTCCAGTCTTTCTTAACCCCCTTTTGACCTAAACTAAGCCATCTATGGGGTTTGATTTTGGGGATTGCGATGAGAGACATCAAGAGAAAAGGAGAGAGAGAAACCACAGCGAGAACGACGGCGACGTAGCCGACGATGGTGAGACCGGTGTAGTTGAGAAAGGAGAGAGCGAGCGTTGAGCACAGAACTGCGACGCGGCGGGGCCAGCCGGAGCCGAGGGCGGGGAAGATTTTCTGGACGTAGTCGATGCAGAGAAGAGGGAAAGAAGCGATGTTGATGACGCCGCTGAGGAATTTCCAGGTGCCCATGAGGGAGCCCCAGAATGGGCCGAAGGCCCGTGAGGCCCAAATGACGAAACCGCCGTTGCCGGGAAAGGCTGTGGTTAGCTCGGCGGTTATGAGGGCTTCCGGGACGCTCCATATGAAGGGGAATAAGAGGAAGCCGAGAAGGGCCAGAAATGGGCCTGCGGCTTCAACTGCGGGCTCTTCGCCGTAGGGCCCACCCGCTACTTCGAAGTAGATGAGGAATATTAGAGGGACGAGGGTGAGCTTTTTTACTTTCCTTTGGGTTGGAGAAGGGTTTTCTGATTCTTCCATCGCTTGATTGGTTTCCAAGAGGAGAATATGATAGTGCAGATTACAGATTACAGACTGCAGTGAGGGAATACTAACAAAAGTAAACTTTAATCCTTCAACATTATTTTAATAAAAAAGATAAAGATTCCATCCATCTTTTCTTGAGAATAAGAAAAGTGTCCTTTTCTTGGGCTTAGGCGTTTAGCTTAACTTCTTCTGTGTAGGTCCATGCACAAATAAACCTTATATATAATTAAAAGATTAAAATTAGTTTCTATTTAATTTTCTTCTTATTTTTATATGATTGTGACTTAATAATTTTTAAATCTCTTATATATTAAATAAATACTTATTATCCTTATTATTTGAAAAAATGTACCTTTTTTATCTGCTAACAATAATGGAATAAGAATGAAAAGTAGAATAATCCATATGTCAAACTTACTCCAGATTTTCAAAGTTGTACAATTCATTTCATTCACACAGCTTTCCTTAGTTGTTTTATCATTTTCACGAGGAAGATTGTAAGTTTTTTTATAGCTATTATATTGCTAAATAATAATTAATTTTTGTCAAAAATGATCAACATATCCAAAGTGAATATTTTCTTTACAATATAATTTATTCTAATGTCGATTAAAATATATTAATCATAACACATTAATAACTGCTGAGTATATCTTAATAATAAAATAAACATATAACTAACCACTGTTTGTGTCGACACAAATTAAATTTGAAGTATTGTATGAAAATCTAAATATTAATGATTAATTTTAATTGATTTAGATTAGTTTTGTTTTTAATTTTTTTAGTTTCTAATATAAACCGATATGGATTGGATTGGTTTAATAAATTTATAAAAAAAAATGAAATTATATTATACAACTTCTCATAATTTATATGATATCCACGTCATGAAATTTGTCTGTTCAAGTTTTAAAATGAACGTAGCCGCTACGAGGAGAAGAAGGGAAGCAATTTCACTTGTTTTGTTGCTATAGTTTGACCGTTACTTACAAATGTTAAATCCATTTATATTAATTAAAAACCAAACAAGCCTTGCAACAGAGTTCCATCTGTCTTCACCAATCACCATGCAGACATACTCAACAAGCAACCTATCCTTTTCAGCAATCCTAGGCCCCTTACTCCATATCTCCTCTTCTATGACGAAATTTTTACTTAAATAATATTTTTTTTTTTTAAATTACAAAAGTATCAACTGTGCAGGTTTATTTACTAATATAGAACTGTTTACTGTTCATGCTCAGAATTCGGTTCCCGGGGAATCGAATTCTGAGTTATTTAAATTTTTTTTCTCGTATTTCTGGCCCATTTTGAGCAAATGTTGGAAGTGAAACGGCCCGTTCCGGAAGTAGAACGAGCCGTTCTGCTTAAAGATACAGAGTCTTTTTTTTAAAATTAAAACGGGCCCTGAACGGCCCGTTCCAGAATAAAAAATTTTAACATTTTTTTGAATCTGAAACGACTCTGGAACGGCCCGTTCTGGAAAATGTTTTCATGAAGTAGAACGTGGTTTGGAACGGGCCGTTCTGGTTTTGGAACGGCCCGTTCTGGGCAAACAGTAAAAAAAATATTAAATTATTTTTTTATTTTTTTTTAAAAGAAGATAATAAAGTTAAAATAATGGGATATTAAGCAATAAATAGGAAATATATTCTCTCCGACAATATAATTATCGGATAAAATTTTAACTATTCAATCAATTTTATTAAAATAATATATTCTTCCTTTAAAATTTTAACTATTCAATCAATTTTATTAAAATAAATCGACCTATTCTTCCTTTATAATTTTACCCTAAGAATCTAACTCAACCAATTAATAACATTTTTAATATCACGCATGTAGATGAAACTCCTAATGACATAATTAAAAAGGTAAAATTATCTAGGAAACCATATCACAATATATTGGTATAAGTTAATATGTTTATGTTATTATGCTCCAATATATTTCCTTTTCAATTTCTGTAACTAAAATAAATATTTTGAATATTAGGTAATTTTTTCACCTAATACTGAATATTTATATCTACTTCATTTAAAGTGAGAAAATTGTACTTTAAAAAATAAAGTGAAATTGATTAAAAAATTAATAATTAATATTATAACTAATTTTAAATCATATTTTATAAAAATTTAATTTTATCATAAATTTAAATAATTAATTTTATAATCAATAATTGTGTGTGCACTTTATTATCTAAAATACATATTCTCACTTAAAAAAGTTACATTTAAACATCTAATGTCATGCTATTAGTGCCTTTCATAAAAGTTATTGAATCTTAAAAATAAATATTATTTATTTAAAAATTAATGTAAAAGAGTTTTCATTCATAATTATTTTATTCAACATGAATAAAATTATTTTGGTTTACGATTGTTGTGATCTAGTTATATAATAGGAAAATTAATAATTTTAAATTTTAAAAAATTAAAATCCAAAAACATATAAAGACCAAAATCTCTCTTTCTTTCTCTCTCTATATATATATATATAATTTTTTAGAAAAAATAATTAACTCAAGTAAAATTAAAAAAAAATGGTTTACATGTTTTTTTTTTACTGATGCTTGTTTATTTTGTATAGTATATAGTTGAAGAGAAATGGAGGAGAAAGGAAAGGGGAATTTTTTTATATAAATTTTTATTGTTTTGTTTATTTTTTAGAGAGTGAAAATTCTTTTAGTTTTTGGGGGATTTGGAGGTGTTCGAAATTATGAAATCTACTTCTATAAATGCAAAATAGGCACTATATGGAAGCGAAAATAAGAATAAGGAGTAAAAGAATAATATAAAAAAATTTACATGAAAAACCTTTTTAATGTAAGTAAGAAAAAATTATGAGACCTAGTTTAATAAAAGATTTTCACTATGAAAGGAAGATTATGAATAATTTCTCTTTTTCAAGAGGATCATTCAAAGAATCACACTTATTTCAAATGATTATCTCTCAATTTTCATTAAGTGTGATAGCAACTTTCTCTTTCTCGCAAACAAAAATACAATAATTTTTTCACTTTATTTCTCTCTTTCTTTCAAAGAGAATCCTATAATAGATTAGACTTAACTACTCTATTACCACTTCACAAATTTTCTTATTTATAAGAGATGATTGACTCTTCATTTTATTGTTCTTAATTCTTGATTTTTTGTTCATAACTCTCCATTTATTATTCTTTATCACAATTTTTATAACTTTTCATGAAATATTTCATCAATTATAGGAGGAGTCTAAGGAAATGAAAGGGATTTTTTTTAGTTGCTATGAAAAGGAAATGAAAGGGAGTGAAAACTCTTCTTATCTAAATGCATACGTGGAAAGCAAAGGTTTTGAACTTTTGAGGAAGTAAAAGTTAAAGAGAATTTCTATGGTACCCATCTTATTTGAGAGGGTATCGGTACAATTTTTTATATTTTATATTTTTAATAATTTATTTAAATAATATTTATGATATTTTATTCTTTCAATTTTTAAATTATTTAGTCATTTTATTTTTATTTTATATATTCTAATTTATTTGTAATAATATTATTATATATTTAAATAGTTTAATTTTAATAATTTTTTAAGTATATTTTTATCTTTTCACTTAAAATTTTTGAATTTCTATATTTTAATTTTAATAACTTTTTAAGTATATTTTTTGTCTTTTTGTCTTAAATTTTTGAATTTCTATATTATAATTTTAATAACTTTTTATTTCTACTATTTATTAATTTTTTTCTTTTTCTTTAATATTTTATAATATTATTGAAAACTTATAATTTTAATTTCTATAATTTTATTTTACTTTTTATTTTATAAGTATAATTTAGATTATTTATTTTATAATTAAATTAATTTTTTT